ATACTATGTTTTTAGTTTTAATAAGAGTTTTACGGCACTTGCAACACAATAAGGTCATCATAAAGGAGGAGGAGAGATCAAGGATGATAGATGTTTGATAGGAAAGAAGTTCAGAAGCAAACCACACCAGAGCACCTGTCAACCACCCACAAATACTATGTTTATAATAAGGATAGTCTTGTCATAAATTGGCAAAACCCGGCGGTAAGTGGGGCTGGCAAAATATTCAGGTTCGACTGTGTATAATATGTACGTGTGTATGTTCTTACCGTAGAGTCGACTGCTTCACTGATTATAAGAATAAATTGGACCTCAGTCAGGCTGTCTCAGTCTGTGTATCCACAGGAATAAGGAATCTGGAAGAGAATTAGATCTAGATCTAGTCAAAATGAATGATGTTAGAATAATAAATAATAATACGGATAGCAGAAAGGACCTAGACATTATGCAAAACTAAATAATACTCAATATATAACACACTTCTTACTGACTTCTAGGCCTACTTCTTGCTGGTCAACAAGGTCAAAGAACTGAACATCAAGCTGTTTTCACTAATTGACGCACAAGTCAAACAGGAAAGCGATGATTAAAAAAATGAAGTGAGCGTTGGAGGCTATTCGGATTCAAATTCCAGTGCGTGTGCGCAATCACCGGTTACTTGTACCGTAAGCAAAGTCTACTAGATCTATACTCGAGTCCGAATAGTCTCCCGTTGCTATTCAGACTTTAAACTACTGGTAGGCTATAACATTGCGTTTCACGACTACAAAGGGATGAATACATAAAAATAATAATCAGTCCTAAATAAGACAGCCCCCTCCTCCCCTTTCTCTCTCTCTTTCTTTTACTTTTCCCTCTGATCTTACTTTCCCAGGCCCGCCATCGTAGAAATCGAGGAAGGACAAGGTCAAATTGCTTGTCTGCTTCACATCCAGTACACCTAGATCTAGTGATTGCGCACGAGCATTGGAGTTTGAGTCCAAATAGCTTCACGTGATCTTAGGCCTACGGTATCTTAAAATATCTAGAAGATTTCTAAATCTAGATCTAGATCTAGATCATTCTAGACTTCTTACCATAGAGTCGACTGCTTCACTGCTCATAAAAATGGGGGGGGGGGGGGGGGAATTGGACATCAATGAGGATCAGGTTGTCTCTGTACACTGTGCATCTGCCAACATGAATAGAGAATCTGAAAGAGAATGAATAAAAAATAGTTTTGCTTTAAAAAATAATCTAAATTTTATTAACTTCACTTTGACTGATGTCAAAGTCAAAGTAAAAGATGAAGATCTAGATTAGATCTAGAATAAATTTATAGAATCTATATATATCGAATAGTGATTAAACACAGCAGAGAGAGGTCCTAGACACTGTGATACTGATAGACCTGCAATGAGAACAATGTTAGGCAACAGAAATAATCTGTTGGAGAGAGAAGAAGTTGAAGCACGGGAATTTCCGACGAGATGAAAAAAAAACCCAAAAGGGAGATCAGGGCACCAAAAAATTGGGACTAGACTATATAATCCCTCTAGATCTATTATCTAATCAAAATCCAGATTTCTACTGATAGCCATATATCGTAATAATATGATTCTACTTCTTCGCCACTCTCGAAAATTGATAAAATGACAATGAAACTTCACACACTTCTGTGCAGTGTGCACACATAAAAGGCACGTATTTTCAAAAAAATAAACGACAAATCAAAGGAAAAAGCAAAAATGTAAAGTAGAAACGTACCTTGAACTTCAACTCGATACTGCTCACAAACCCGACGTCCGACGGTCACGCAAACAATTCAAACATTCATAAATCTTGATCTATCTCTACGACTCCGATCTGGAACTCTGGAACTCCGCGCCTTTTAAAAATGGATTGGATTGACCGGATATGACGCAAAAATGACCCTTCAAAATGACTCCTGTCCAATTGGCCAAACGAACACCACGTGGCTGTGAGGCGAACCGGGGAAGCCCGGGGGCGGACGACCGCCGATGTGCGACTAGGCTACTTCGGCCCTACTGGAAACACTCAATCGATCGTCACGAAACATAAACACCATTGCTGTGAAGATATAGGCCTAGGCCTAGAGCGCTCTCTCTCCTTTCAATGGCCTTTCAAACAAGAAGGCCCACCTGGACGT